CGTCGACTTTCACATCTGTTGCTCTGATTTATCTCCTAATGTCTCCCTCTCTCCCCTCCCTCCCTCTCTCTCCTCCTCCTCCCCTCCCTCCCTCCCCTCCTCCCTCCCCTCCCTCCTCCCCTCTCCTCCTCCCTCCCCTCTCTCCCTCCCACCCCTCCCCTCTCTTTCTCTTTCCTCTCCTTCGTTGCTGTTATTTCCACGTTTTCTTTGTCGTCTCTTATCGCGTTTTCTCTTGATTGTGTTCATTATTTTTTCTTATCGTTGTTATTTCCTTTATATTTTGCAGCCCATAGTTGTGTTTATTGTTGTTTTTGTTGTTGTTTTTGTTATTTTTTGTTGTTGTTTTTGTTGTTGTTTTTTGTTGTTTTTTGTTGTTGTTTTTGTTGTTACCATGTGACTGTTAACTCATTGGATTTTAATTCCCCACCGTATCGGAAGGGAGAGGTTAGTTAAGGTTAGTTAAGGTTAGGTTAGGTTAGGTTAGGTTAGGTTAGGTTAGGTAGTAGGTAGGTAGGTAAGGTTAGGTTGGAGTTAGGTTAGTTAAGGTAAGGTAAGTAAGGTAAGGTAAGGTAAGGTAAGAATGTCTAATTATCTTCTGTCCGTCTGTTCTTTCGTACATAGGATATAAACATGATAACATAGATAAATAGCGACAGATATCAACCTCAGGAGGGTTCAATAAGCAGCGTCTTTTGTCATTTTTGGTTGGATTTATGTAGGGTGTCACTCATTCACTCACTCACTCATCACTGTCATTCACTCACTTACTCACTCACATCACTCACCTTCAGCGGGGATCAGGTATCGGTTTGGTGACTTGTGTATGACAGGTGATACTACACTATGCTCTTTGCTTATATGGCGGGTGTAATTACTGTACTAACTGTAATGTTCGTGACTACATACCTGTGATGTATTATTATTATTATTATTATTATTATTATTATTATTATTATTATTATTATTATTATTATTATTATTATTATTATTATTATTATTAGTGTTATTATTTTTATCTGCAACACTTACAATGGTCCCCCACGTGTGTCTACAGGTTTAGGCCCCTTGAATACTATGGTTAGATCCCTGTATATGATGACTTAACCCCTTGAATATGATAATTTAACCCCTTAAATACGATGATTTAACCCCTTGAATGCGATGATTTATCCTCTTGAATACGATGATTTAACCTCTTGAACACGTTGACTTAACCCTTTGAATACGATGACTTAACCCCTTGAATACGATGACTTAACCCTTTGAATACGATGACTTAACCCCTTGAATACGATGACTTAACCCCTTGAATACGATGACTTAACCCCTTGAATACGATGACTTAACCCCTTGAATACGATGACTTAACCCCTTGAATACGATGACTTAACCCCTTGAATACAAAGACTTCGAATGAGCAAGTTTTTAGCAATTGTTCAGTTTAACAGGACTTCGAATACCAGAGAGAGTTAATGAGACACCGTACCTCGGATAAGGTAAGGAGAGCCGGTATGTGAGAGATGTTGGGGACCTTCAAATAATCATCATACCTGTACACTCGGTACTATAAAATATTATGTGGTATCGTTCTTGGTCTCAATGTGTATGTATATATAGTGGGATGTATATCATTATACCCTGGCTGGTCATTATATCGTGTGTGTGTGTGAGTGTGAGTGTGTGTGCGCGCGCGCGCTGTTATACTCCAACTATGTTTTATTTCGTTATGGTAACACCAAGGAAGGTAGAGTGCTCTACCTTCCTTGGGTAACATTCCATTGGATCTCAAGACTCTCTCTCTCTCTCTCTCTCTCTCTCTCTCTCTCTCTCTCTCTCTCTCTCTCTCTCTCTCTCTCTCTCTCTCTCTCTCTCTCTCTCTCTCTCTCTCTCTCTCTCTCTCGTGCATTTTGTGTTGGTACATTAATCTCGGCCACCGAGACAAGCTTCATTAGCAATTACTCTTGTATTGTGTCACATATATATCTTAAGTGCGCCTGGGTATATATATATATATATATATATATATATATATATATATATATATATATATATATATATATATATATATATATATACACACGTGTGGTGGGGGGGTATTAACCAGGTGAGACACAACAACAGGCAGTAAACAAAGTTACACAAGACGGTGAAAACAAAATGTACAACCCGGAGTGTGTTTATAAATAATTCAGTGGCGGGTGAGAGTAACAAGCCTTCCTCTGTAGGCGCTGACAGCCACTGTAGACCCGTGAACCAGTGTATAAACCCGTGAACCACTTTAAACCTGTGAACCCCCACTATGAATCATTGAACCAGCAACTGACTAACTTTACATGGTACATAGTTGTATACATCTTAACTCTGAGCTCATACTTCCCGTGTGCGTGCGTAAAAAAAACGTCAACATTATGTATCTATCAACCTGAGAATCTTTATGTCATAATATCAATATTGAACTCGTGATATACCCCCTCCTCTCCCCTCCCCTCCCTCCATCTAAAAGTACCCCCCCTCACCTCACCCCCCTCCCCGGTAAGGTCGTATAGCCCGGAGAGACGTGGTATAATGCAAATTTTTACAAGGCGTTATTTCGAGAGCCAGAAATACGAGGTCGCGAAGAATACGACGTTTGGGAGGGGAGCGTAATAAGAGGCGGAGAGTGTATGTTGACAGAAATGTGAGGTCCGCTGGGAGTCTCTGTATATACCTGGGTCGTGGAGGTCTACCAGGGTATGGATGTAGAACCCAAGTGTTTTATTTATAAGGTGTTGAATTCTGTTTGTCTTTTGTTTCTTTTGGAGTTTGGAATTTATAGTTGGAATAAGATTTGGATTATTTTGTTTATATTTGTATGTTGTGTTTTATTATGGATTAGAAGGATAAAGAATCATTTATAAGGAATTGGATTATTTTTTTTTATTAGTTTGGATTCTATAGAAGAGAGTTAGGATATTAGGTAATATTTCCTCATATGTGGTATTTATGGGGTACGGGATTCTATAAGGGTATGGAAATAAATAAGGGATGAATGTACTCCACTTAAAAGGTATTGGATGCCATATTTTACGCGCCTGGAACCATTAGAGTAGGATTAAGAGGCTTCTGTTTGTTACTACACTATTTATATGGATTTTAAGAGACTATAAGAGCTTGGATCTCTTGTATATGGAGTTGAATCCTATTTTTGAGGAGTTTGGAAACTATGATAGAGGGTTACGATAGTTCTTTTTTTTATTGTACACCATACGTATGCATTTCGTAGGTGCAGTAGCTGGGTATATATTGCCATTAGAGAATAAGTAAAGATATCGTTCATATTTACGATAGTTGGAGTGTTGACGAAGGAAGCATGAAATGTAGAGGTTGTTCTGTCGTGAATTATAATCTAGTAATGGACTCTCTCTCTCTCTCTCTCTCTCAATGACGTCATGCGTGTATTTGAAATTTAATTAACTCTTGAATATATATCTTACGAAACGAAATTCAGCTTCACTTGATTTCTGATGTAAACAGAATCCTGCTTACCTGCAGAGAGAGTAAAATAATAATAATAATAATAATAATAATAATGATAATAATAATAATAATAATTTAATAAGAAAAATAATCTATTGGAGGCATGGGAGCGGTTACAGGAATATTAGATGTATCGTAATTATTCAAATTAGCTGAAAGTTAGATGAATGTGATGTATGAAAATATGTTGTAATCATTCGAAAATTAGTTAGAAATAGATGACAATTAGTTGGAATTTGCTGAAAGTAATGGCAGAACTAATGTATTATTGATATCCAGAAATGAGCAAGAATTAGTTGATTATCAGGATAAAATTATTTCCCCATTACATGAGAATTAGCCGGAATAAGCTGAGAATTATAACAGCATAAATCCTTGCAATAGATGAGCTGGAATCAATGTAGAATTAGTTGAGCTTAATGAGTTAACTTCATCACTGTCACCGGGAAATTAATTTAGGATAAGTTGAGAATTAGCTGAATTACAGGACTGAACTACCCTGAGATGAGCTGGAATTAGTCGAGTCGGTGGGAGGTGTGTGTGTGTGTTCTAAAGATCTTCTCACATCCCCAGTTATAGGTATTTCTCACATCCCCATTAACAATGATACAATACACGGGGAGGTTAGGTTAGGTTTGGTTAGGTTTGGTTAGGTCAGGTCAGGTCAGGTCAGGTCAGATCAGGTTAGGTTAGGTTAGGTGCATTAAGCTGGTAATCCGTATTTACTCCTCATTAACTTGTGATGCGAGAACAAAACTGACTCACTTAAGCTACTAAAGAAAGGCAATGAATTAAATGGCTTGAAATTGCACTAATACTCTACTCTAACTAGTTAAGGTAGAGTCACAGTGTTATTGTGGTGTCACATTTGACCGTCTTAGCTAAAGTTGAACTGTTAGTTGCATTCCTGCTTCTTGAGTTACTAGAAATAACTGCTCTACCTTCTTCTGAGACTCCGGGATCATGTGATGGCCCTGTCAGCTGCCTCTCCTAATTTTTTTCCACCTCATTTAAAGTGAAAATCATCTCAAATTGCTGACGTAATCGATGAGTAACAAGTTGCTTTCGGAAGACCGATAAGCAGTAACTAATCTTAATGTTTGTATAATCTGCCTTTCTATATCATAACTGTTTCTTAAATTTTCCATTCAACATTACCTGCGCCATTGAGTCCATTATTTATTTATGTATTTTATCTTGAGTTACTGATACGAGAGAGGGTTGAAATACAGTATGTATATAAAGGTGTACGACATTCAATTGCACGTTAACATTATCAAGCAAGGTACGATACTTTGTCTAGCAAGTTAGGTAGGGAGGGAAATATCGCACGCCCGAGCATCAACAAAGGTTATCATCTCCTCGAGCGGGATTTAATGGTCGTAAACCAATAAAGACACGGGTTTACGCGGCGGGAAAAAAACTCTCGTTCATATCCAAGAGATATTTCACGTCTATAAACCAAACAAAAGAACAAGGTTTACGCGATAAAGCTTGAGCGTTAAGAAGAGATAAACCCGGGAGTGATTGTCGGCAAGTTGACGCAAGAGCGGGTGATCAGCGGGGCCAGACGACTTGCTATCGCCCACTGCTGTCAGCCAATCACCGTCGCGTCCTTCTGTGTAAAGACACTAAGATGTGAGTTTTGTTGTCTGCTTTAGTGTTTATGTCAGTAAGTATGCTCCTGCTACCGGTATAATACACTTGTTCTTGACACTCGTGATACCGGTACAGAGCCGTGTTGTCAGTGTACTTATATTACCGGTACAGAGCCGTGTTGCATATGACCAATACAGAGCCGTGTACACCCACCCATGAAGACCTAAAACAAAGAGCGTTCCAGGCGACGCACGAGTGAAACATTGAGGTAAAAACAGGGGAGACAGGCGGTGCTGGCGGAACACCCAGGATTGTGTCCACGAGAGTGTTAGCCGAAGGTGTTAAGTCGGGGCTTTTCTACCTCCACCACCACCACCACCGCACCACTACCACCCTCACTACCACCACCACCACCACCTCATCACTACCACCACCTCACCACTATCCCCACCCCTTCCATCACCACTTCCACTACCACTACCACCATCTCTTCCACCACCACCTTACCAATACCACCACCCTTTCCACCACCACCCCTTCCAACACCACCTCACCACTACCACTACCCCTTCCACCACCACCTCACCACTATTAGCACCAACACCACCACTATCCACGCGCACCCACCACTACCATCATCATCTATCTACAACCCCCACTCACTTACCACTACCACAATCCTTCATATAAACTACCTTCCTCACCATCATCCCTCTCCACGTCACAACCACCCCCTTCACCTACCACCACCCCCTCCCCCCTCTCCCACCACCACCACCACCATCATCTACAGTAAAGCAGAGGTGGACCACGATAACCATAGAGGCCTACTTTGCCTTCCTCTATCAGCTAACACTCCCTTCCTTGGCAGTGTCGTGGGTTCCTACTCTGAACCACATGACTGCCCTGTTGTAATAATCTCCTTATTAGAGTTCATACCTGTGGGGGAGGAGGGGGGGGGGCAACTACCTGCGTTCTGGGCCACTTCCTGGAACACCTTTCTTTCTTCATGAATGGTTTCTTGGATCACCTGTCTATCCTACCTTCTAGACCTACTGGGATACCTACATACAGTCTTGACCACGCGCTATCTGGGCCACTTATCATCATTTTGGACCCACACATGTCAAATCGCTGAAGAAAACCTCGTGAGTAAAATCCAATACTCTTAACGCCGGGTCTTACATGCTGGTCTTAAGATTCAGCAGCAGCGACGAGGCGAGCCAGCCAAAAATGCATTACGATTGGGTCAGAATCCAGTAAGATCTGCCGACTGAGGCGTTTCTTGGCTTTTTTATCGTAGCGTCGTAATCACTAAATGGCAGACGGTGTCGTAATTCTCTCTTTGCGAGTATTTTTAAAAGCATTAAGAGAGTGTGTTTATCAAGGATGTTACTGGCTGGTGGGAGAAATTTAAGAGAGATTTGGACGACAGGTGTTGGATTAGTTAAAGTTGACTTCTGGAGACACGACTGTGATTCCCTGTTGAAGATTTACGAGGGAGTATCATCGACTAATTCAGTGCCGGGAAAATACTCGCTAAATGTTTGTGATTCTCTTAAATAAACAGAGTTAGTTATACTGGCGAGTGTCACTGTGAAGTTATTACAAAGGTTTATTGTGGCTTTTAGAGTACGAGGAACTTGTTAGTAATATTTACCTTGTGAAAATATTAAGCATTCTGGTAAAAATCCAATAATAAGCTGACAATTTTTACGAAACTAAAGCTGAAAATCTTGAATAAATTGAAACATTAGCTGAAATTCTTTACGAAAATGATACATCCACCAAAAATCATGACGAAACTGAAAAAAAAAAATTAAATAAAAAACAATAAAAATACTGAGAAACATTAAACCCAAATCTTGTTAACTTTTGTATTAAATATATACATGAACCAGATAAGGTGAGTTAGGTGTAAGCCATCAGGGATAGAAGAAGACTTATGTAGACACTCAAAACAAATGAGAATCTGCCATGTGGTATTAAACTCTCCTGCCTGGGTGAGGAAGAGGATCTGGGAGAGCAGTATCTGATACCTTTTAAGAATAACGATGAAAAAATACTAAAATAAGAAATAAACCAAAAATAAAAATACTAATATATATATAAAAAAATATTATTAAACTGACGAACATTGAAGTAGATAAATACATAGATAGTTATGAAAATAGATAGAATTCTATAGATGGTTATAACTATAGATATAAAATAAATAAAATAATGGGAAAAGGAGTACAGACTTGGGTGGAGTAATGGAGTAAAAATTATGCAGTTAAAAGAACCAAAGCAAAGGAAATGTGAATAAAACTGAATTAAAAATAAATCGTGGTAAATAAATCTACGGTATACTCTATCCGCATTTCACTTAGTCTTTACTTTCGCCCCTTTGGAGTTGTCGAATGTTTATCATAAATGTTAATCCGATAAACATTTGTCTCTCATCAATTTTAACTTCTTTGGCCCTCAAAATGTTCACGTCACGTATGTTTATTTAATGAATTTTTTTTTCAATTGTTTAATAAATTTGGGGGGCTAAAATGTTTATGTTCTAAATGTTGACCTGATGAACAGTTTCCTCTAATCTTTCAACATTTTGGGGGGAAGGAATCATCAAAATGTTTAAGTTCCCTAAATATTGATTTAAGATTATTTCGTATCCTCATTCTTGCTTCTGAAAATGTTTACTCGCCATATAAGTTTATTCAATAAAGACTTTTCTCTAAATTTTACAACATTAATTTTTTATCGATGATCAACACATTTACCTGCCATAAACATCGACCAAAATAAACATTCCCTTGAAATTCGATTGTCAAATATTTGTCGTTTTGTGGGATGTTAACTCTTGAATGTTTATATTGAGAAATAACTCATCCGTATTGTGACCGTCTATACTTAATGATCCCCGCCATAATAATAATAATAAAAATAATAATAAAAATAATAATAATAATAATAATAATAATGAATCAAATTATATCTAAGAGTCCGCCATTATTTCCATGTTGGAGTCACCGGAATGAATTATTAATCTAGGCTCGGGCTATAAGATTAATTTTCTGATTCTGAACCTGCAAAGGTGATTAAATATTTGCATGAATCAGGAGACGCTGATTTAATTAATTTTGCCGTCAATGTTAAGATGTTGTATTAGTTTAGCTGCGAATAAAGAACAAGTTACAGTGTTCTCTAGTCTACTGATCTGTATTGGGAGTTTGATATACACACACACGCACACACACACACACACACACACACACACACACACACACACACGCACACACACACACACACACACACACGCACACACACACACACACACACACGCACACACACATCAATAATACGTCATCACACACACACGTACGCACACACACACACACACACACACACACACACACGCACACACACGCACACACACGCACACACACATGTTTTCTCTTGTGATTGTTTCTTGTCTGACTTTCTTTGTTTATTTTTGTGTACTTACCCACCCACCCACCCACCCACCCACTCCACTCCACTCATTCACTCCACTCACCTCCCACCTACCGGCTGTGAGACGACTAACCCTAGTTCGCGTGGGGTTATATTGCCTTTGTCTTGCTGAACCACAGCTGTTTGATGGTGTGGGGAGGGAGGTGGGGGGAGGGGGTGAGAGAGATGAGGAGGAGGGGGTGAGGGGGAGATGTGGGGGTGAGGGGAGATGGGGAGGGGAGGGAGGGGAGGGGAGGGGGAGTGAGGAGATGGGGTGAGGGAGGGAGGGGAGGGGAGTGAGTAGACTAGGGCAGCTCTGTTTATTTTAGCTTCATTAAGGCCACGTCAGGTCAGCAAGTGTCAGGTCAGGCTTGGGGTCTCTCTCGTAGTATCACATTCCAATATGTCTTTATTCCTTTCCTCTCTCTCTCTCTCTCCCCTCTCCATCTCCTTCCGTCTCTCTTCCCTCTACCTTCATCTCTCTACCTCTCTACCTTCTCCCACTCCATTTCTCTTACTTCTCCCACTCCCTCCACCTGTCTACCCTCTCCATCCATCTCTACCCTCTCCCTCCCCCTCTCTACCCTCTCCCTCTCTACCCTCTCCCTCTCTAACCTCTCCTCCCTCCATCTCTACCCATTCTTATCGACGTTATGTAACAGGAGACGCTAACGTGTCACATTGCAATATTTTTTTTTCATTTTTACTCTTTCCCTCCCATTTCCATCCCTCCCTCCCCCATCCATTTTTTTTCCTCTCCCCTTCTTTTTCTTTCTATCTTTCATTTCCCTCTTCCATCCCTCTCACCATATAACGTTCCTTCCTCTCCGTTTCTTCCTTTACCCTCCTTACCTCCTTTCCTCCATGTCCCCTTCTCTCTCTTTCTACCTTCCCTGTCTCCCCTTTCCCTTCCTCTCTTTCGACCTCTTCCGCTACCATCCTCTCTACGATCCCTCTCATCTTCCCTTCCTCCCCCATTTCTCTTTTAACCCTCCTCTCCCTCCCTCCCTCTTTTCTATCATCTCTCCTTTACCGCCTACTCCCCTCCGTCCCTCTCTCCATCTTCACCTCTCCCTTCAACCTCTCTCTCCTTCATTCCCTCTTTTCCTCCCCATCTCTCCCTCTTCTCCCTTCCCTCTCACCGTATCCATCAACAATAACAAGTCTTCCTAGAGTATCACACTGAAATAAACATATACATATTCTTTCCATTAAACTCTCCCACTAATGACATCATCAACCTTAGCCCTTCGATCTTCCAGCGAGAAAGAAAAAAAATATTGACATCACCACCAACACGAGGCGAGCCAGGCGATGGATTGTGTTTTTTTTTGCCTCACCTGTAAATAACACCGGGTTTTATTAGCTCACCTGGCAGAGGGGTACACACGAAGACGGGAAATGTGGATGCTGTCTTTGTTGCGTGTTGAGCGTTTGTCGTGCGTCATTAGTTACGTCGTACGTCCGTTGTCCACCTGTAATACCATCGTACGTCCGTTATGTGTACGTCGCCCTTGTGGTCTCGTCCGTTGATACAATAGAGTTAATACACTATAGTGTTGAAAGTTCTTATAAAGTGTGTGTGTGTGTGTGTGTGTGTGTGTGTGTGTGTGTTATAGGATTGTTCACCTTTCCTGCGCGTGTTTCTAATGATAAACAAACATACATTTCCCGGCTGTTAATAATCATTTGTTTAAAGGTGAATCCATTGACGGTAAATAAAACTTTTTTCTCTAAGATAAAACACAAATAAAACAAAATAAAACACCAAAATTATATTAGACAAACTTTTCACCTGTGTATATTTTGTTTGTTTTGTCTGAGAGAAAACTGAGCTAAAAAGGGGTTATTTTATTCATGTTGTGAGAAGCTCCTAAGTCGAATTCTCAAAAAATCTTATATTGTTGAATTTTTTTCCTAAAGTACAGAGTAACGATGGAGTTTCGGTGCACATTTGACGCCATTTTGGTAACTAGTAATCTGTTGTAGCTAAAGTCTGTCTTATCAGTTCTTTCTCTGTTTTAAGAGAACGAATTTTACGATCCTTTAAAAATTCGGACGTCAGGCAGATGGTGTTTAATATATGGGTCCCAGATTTACCTGTCTTGAGGGTGGTGGGCTGGATGACTTACCTGTCTTGAGGGTGGTGGGCTGGATGACTTACCTGTCTTGAGGGTGGAGGGCTGGATGACTTACCTGTCTTGAGGGTGGTGGGCTGGATGACTTACCTGTCTTGAGGGTGGAGGGCTGGATGACTTACCTGTCTTGAGGGTGGAGGGCTGGATGACTTACCTGTCTTGAGGGTAGAGGGCTGGATGACTTACCTGTCTTGAGGGTGGTGGGCTGGATGACTTACCTGCCTTAACGGTGGTGGGCGGAATGACTTTATAAATCACCTGCTCTGAGGAAGGTGGGCGTGATGACTTTGTAAATCACCTGCTCTGAGGAAAGTGGGCGTGATGACTTACCTGCTCTAAGGGTGGTGGGCGGAGCGAGCACCACGCCTGTAGGGTTGGAGGCGCGGCACTGGTAGACGGCAGCGTGTACATCCTGGCGGTAGTCGGTGCCACTGAAGGGCCAGATGACCAGTGACCCGTTATTCAACACCTGTCGAAGGGGAGACGGGAGGGTCACCTGGGCACTCCATAGGTACTCAGTCACTCACATCTGTTTAGCACGTATACAGGCGCCCCGTACATAACGCATATGATACATGTGCACATAAAACTTTAACTTGCACACAAACACTGGCACTGACATGTACATATAGAAATACATACACGAACAGACATAAACACACAATCCTTATATACACAACTCTCATAGACACACACACACACACATACACACACACACACACACACACACACACACACACACACACACACACACACACACACACACACACACACACACACACTCACACTCACCTCCCTCACGCCGGCGATATTGGTGACGGGGGAGTGGTCGAGGTTGAGCCAGGTGATCTGAGGGGGCGGGTCACCTTTCGCCAGGCACCCCAGCACTGTCCCGGAGGTGTTGGTGAAGGTGACCACCCCGGGGGGCGGCTCCACCAGCACGGGGCCAGCTGGAGCACCTGTACCCCCGACGCTCACTGCCCCGCCTGAAAACAAGGTAAAATAAAGTAGGTCAGTGTTTATATATAAGTAGGTCAGGGTTTAAGTACAGTTGCAGTGAGTAGTGTTATTGTTTTGTGCGGTTTTTGGTAGTGGTATGCGGTTTTGGGTGGTGGTCTGCGGTTTTGGGTGGTGGTGTGCGGTGTTTGGTGGTGATGTGCGGTTTTTGGTGGTGGTCTGCGGTTTTGGGTGGTGGTGTGTGGTGTTTGGTGGTAGTCTGCGGTTTTGGGTGGTGGTCTGCGGTTTTGGGTGGTGGTCTGCGGTTTTTGGTGGTGGTCTGCGGTTTTGGGTGGTGGTGTGCGGTGTTTGGTGGTGATGTGCGGTTTTTGGTGGTGGTCTGCGGTTTTGGGTGGTGGTCTGCGGTTTTTAGTGATGGTTTGCGGTTTCTGTAGGTCTTTAGCGCATTTTGGTGGTGTTGTACGGTGTCTGGTTGTCTTGTGTGGTTTCGGGTTGCTCTGTGTTGGTTCTGGTTGCAGGGATCAAAGCAATATGCGGGTATTGCTCACTATTTCCAGTACGGATTAGATATCGATTGAGCCTTGCTGCCAGTGATTAGTCTGTCAACACAGGTATACACAAAAGAGTATAACTATTGATTGGGATTAACAGCTGATTATTTACTCTGACGACGGAAGAGTCTACACGTATATCCAGGTGCATGTAAACTTCTGTGTGTGTGTGGGGGTGGAGGATAAGTCTATGTGTACATGTATTGAGTCAATTTTACTTGTATATTCCTGTTTGCATGGAAACTTAATTACTGAATACATATGCATCCGGGTATACATATGCATCTATGTATATATGCATTCATAGCTATACATATAAACCGTTGTATACATGTACACCCAGGTATACATGTAAGTCAACGTATTGCTTATACCTGAGTGTATACACGTACAGCATTTAAAACTAATTAATCTTATGTCAAATATGTACGTAAAGAGAGAGAGAGAGAGAGAGAGAGAGAGAGAGAGAGAGAGAGAGAGAGAGAGAGAGAGAGAGAGAACAAGATGGCTCCCTGCTAACCAATCGCTGGTATGGATGCAGTCAGTGTGTATTGGTTCCACAACAAGCGCCTGTACGAGCGATCAGCAACGCCACTACGAGCAATTAACAACAGCTGGCGGACCACTCCACCCACGTAATAACACGCTATGGGTACTACGCCAGACGAAACCTTCTCTCCCCTTCTGCCCGTAGTGGCGTTGATTTGTAGTAATAACTTTGATTACGATATTACCGACGATGCCTTACTCCTTCCTTCCTTCCTTCCTTCCTCGTATTCATTGCTTCTTTCCTTCCTTCCTTCCTTCCTTCCTTCCTTCCTCGTATTCATTGCTTCTTTCCTCCCTTCCTTCCTTCCTCGTTTTCTTTGCGTCTTTCCTATTCCTCTTCCAATTTCTCCCTCCTCCTCCTCCTCCTCCTCCTCCTCCTCCTCCTCCTCCTCCCCCTCCCCCCCTCTACTCTACCGCCTCCTCCTCCTCCTCCTCAACCACCCACATTTCTCTTGACTTCCCTCACCCCTTCTCTTCCTTCCTTCTCCTCTTCCTTCCTCTTCCTCCTCCTCTTCTTCTTCTTCTTCTTCTTCTTCTTCCTCCTCCTCCTATTACCTCCCATCTGAAGTATTTTCAATTTAGTGAAGTGGCCCTTTCCCTTAAGTAGTACAGATTAAGGTTCGTAATAATGTTGTTGGTGAGGCAGATCCCATACTAGGGTGTGTGTGTGTGTGTGTGTGTGTGTGTGTGTGTGTGTATTAGTGTGTGTGTGTGTTCTCTCAAAGTCGCCACAGGAACAAGTCATTGGTGTAAGTCGCCCTAAGAAATGATTCAGTCGTTTGAGTCACCACAGAAATGAGTCGTTTAAATTGTGTGAGTCATTTGAGTCTAATGTTAGTCAAGAGAGTCATTTGGGTGATCGTGAGTCGTTTAGGGGTGGTCGTGTGTGTCGTTTAGGTGGTCGTGTGAGTCGTCTGGGGTGATGGAGTGAGTCGTTTGAGTCGTGTGAGTCGTGTGAGTGGTTGTATCACCCTCACTGGCCGCTTGATGACTCCTGGTCTTATTTACATACAGCCAATAAGGGTCTGATGTCCTTGTCGCCATGCATAGATTATAGAGCAGGGGATATCTCTCTCTCTCTCTCTCTCTCTCTCTCTCTCTCTCTCTCTCTCTCTCTCTCTCTCTCTCTCTCTCTCTCTCTCTGCATCGTTAGGTTAGGTAGAGTTTTAGAATAATTTTGACGCCATGTTTGCTCCACCTTTGTCTCGTAGCTGTAGTGGGCGAGTGAAAACGTGATTCTCAGGTCTCCAGTTAAGAGGGGAAGCTTTTAACTTGGGAATTAACGTTACATTTTTATCAGAGTGAAAAAGATGTAATTTTTACCACTTCAAGTAAATGGATATTTTAACTTACGAAGAGAAACAGACAGACAGAGACAAAGGAAAACGACCAAAGATAAACTGAATTACGTACACACACACACACACACACACACACACACACACACATAGACAGACAACAGATAAGTAGACAGAGATAAGAATAAAGATAAAACAAATATAATAAAAATATTAACAATCATGGCTGACATCGTCTTCCTCTCCCCCTGATCTTCCTCCTCTTTCTCTCCTCATTATGGACTTTTCTCTTCTCTCACCTCCTCTCTCCTTCCATAACCTCCCCTTCGCTCCTTCTTCCATACATCTCCCTCTTCTATTCCTCATCTAAACCTTTTCACCTACCCTCTTCCTTCCATCTTATCTCTCTCCCTATTCCCCTCCTCTCCCTTAATCTCCTCCTCCCCTCCCCTCCCCTCCCCTCACCTACCCTACCCTAACACCCCTTCCCTCCCCCTCCCTCCATTACCCATCCTCCTCCCTCTACCCCTCCCGCCCTCCCTCCCCTCCCCTCACCTCCCCACCCCCCTCCCCACCTCCCTCCTCCCCTCCCTCCCCACCCCACCCCTCCCCTCCCCCTCCCTCCCCTCCCCTCCCACCTCCCACCAACAACAGGCCCTTCAGCAAACAACAACTCAGCCAACCGTCGGAGAAAATCCTTCCATTACACCAGCATAACTTGGCAGCAATGGGAACCGGCAGCTCAAGCCCACCCACCCACCACCCTACCCCTACCCACATCCTACCCCCCCCCACACCTCCACCCCACCCCTCCTCTGTCCTTGAAAATCAAGCAAAAACACCCAACTGACTAATTTCTTCAGGGGCCATTGGTAGGTGACGTGAGATTGATGTTCCGTGGGAGAATTTAACATTAAAATGGTTTATGTGTGATAATCCCCATTTTTCACATTTTAAGGAGACGATTTGTGTTGTGGAATAGGATCGTGGTGGAATAGGATTGTGGTAGAGAATTGTGGTTTCAGGAATGGGTGGATCAACATCGTGTGGAAAGGAATGAGTTGGATGTGTAGAAATGGATACTCTCTCATGGGTAGGATATATTCACAAAGATACGTCACAAATCCTTCCTACCTGTCCCAACCCTCCTCCATTTCTTCTTAACTCTTCCCTGAGTCTACCTCCTCTCCTCCTCCGCCCTATTCCTCTTTCTCCCTCCTCCCCTTTCTTCATCCTTTTCTCTCCTTCTCTTTCTCCTCTCCTCCTGCTTCTCATTTTCCACTTTCTCGTACTCCTCTCCTCCACCCCCCCTCTCCCTACCCTTCCCCTGTCTTCCTCCCACCACTTCTCCCCACACCACGAACTTATTAACCCACCTTTAAATTATGATTATCAGACTAATTTCTCGTATAGGAAAGCTGTCACAATAACATGGTTCCCGACACTCAGAGAATCGTAGTTATTTTCACCTCTAAATAGGAATAGGAACTACATGAGAGAGAGAGAGAGAGAGAGAGAGAAAGCCCTGGTTACTTTTGACATTCCACCACCACCACCCACCACCACCACCACCACCACCACCGTCATCAATACACGTTAGAACTAAAAGTTGGACAGTAAATTGTGTCGAGAAGCTCTTAAGTGTAAACACCAAGTTTTGTTTACATATGACCACCAACCTACCACCAGGAGGGAGGGAGGGAGGGAGGAAAGAAGGATGGATGGAAGGAAGGAAGTAACGAAGGAGGGAGGGAGGGTGGAAGGAAGGAGGAAAGAAAGATGTATGGAAGGAAGTAGGGAAGGAAGAAGGGAAGGGATGGAGGGAGGAGAAGGAGGGAGAGGTAGGGAGAATAGGAGCTAGGAAAGAAAACAGGTAGGATAACAGAAGGAAAGAAAGGAAGGAAGTAAGGAAGAAAGGGAGCGAGAGAATGAGGAGGAGGGGGACGTAAGAAGGAAGGAATAAATTAAGGAAGGAAAGAAGGAAAGGACCAAGAAACTGAAGGAAGGATTGAAAGGTGATAGTAGGGAGGAAAAAGAAGAGAGGATAGGAGAAGGAATGAAGATAAGGAGGAATTGAACAAATGAACTGAACTCCAACAGTGTATTTTGCTTAACTTCTGCCGATGCAAAATTATCCACCAACAACAATATTGATATGGCTGAACCGTCTGATACCTGCAGCTGTCTTGAGAGGCACCTGAGGGACATATGTACCCCCAAAAATTATTACTATTATTATGTATCATCTGGATTAAAACAACTTAAGGATCACGTGAAGATTAGACACCCAAGATTATTTCACCTGATGATTAAAGAACGCTAACCTAATCTAACCTAATCTAATCTAATATATCTAACCTAACCTAACCTAACCTAACCTAAATTGCACTTCCTGTTTGTAATACGTGAATATATAACCCACTTTTTATACAATTTCTCTCTTCCTCCTTCTTCCTCCCTTTCTTCAATTCTCCTCCCTACCTTCCCTTCCCCCTCCCTCCCTCCCTCCCTCCCTCCCTCTCCCTCCCTCCCTCCTCCCTCCCTCCCCTCCCTCCCCACACGTGTCCTAATTGTTCCATCCAGAGTTTAAAAGAAATTGAATGAATTCCCTCCCTCCCTTCTTCCCCCCCA